TCAATTATGTCAGATCATTTGATATTGTCCCACAGATCACTGAGGTTCTGTTTTTTTTTTTTTTTTTTTTGCTGAGGAAGATCTGCCCTGAGCTCACATCTGCTGCCAATCTTCCTCTTTTTGTATGTGAGCTACTGCCACAGCATGGCCACTGAAAGAAAAGTGGTGTAGGTCCACGCCTGGGAACTGAACCTGAGCCAATGAAGTGGAGTGTACTGAACTTAACCACTAGGCTACCAGGGCTAGCCCATCTGTTCGTTTTTTTTTTTTTTTTTTGTGAGGACGATTAGCCCTGAACTAACATGCAGTGCCAATCCTCCCCTTATCCTGAGGAAGATTGGCCCTGGGCTAACATCTGTGCCCATCTTCCTCTACTTCACATGGGACGCCGCCACAGCACAGCTTGACAAGCAGCGTGTCGGCGCACGCCTGGGATCCGAACCTGTGGAACCCCAGGCTGCAGAAGCGGAGTGCGCACTTAACCTCTACACCACCGGGCTGGCCCCTGTTCATTTTTTAAAGTCTTTTTTGCTTTGCTTCACTTTGGCTGGTTTCTATTGCTATGTCTCAAGTTCAGTAATCTTTTCTTCTGCAGTATCTTATCTCCTGTTAATTCCGTCTCTAGAAATTCCATTTGGTTTTTTTGGTGTCTTCCATTTCTCTTCTCACTGTGTTCATGTTTTCATGGAGTCTCACTCCATTCATGGACACCTCACTATTCAGCAAAGATTCAAGGGGACCCCCAAGCTCTTTCTCTTTTGTAACCCTATCCTCTCTGGAATTCTGTGCTACAAATTCCAGCTAGTCTCCACCCCTACCCCCTATCTCTCTCTCCTCAACTCAGCAAGTCCCCTGGGCTATCCCTGTGCCCTGGTCTAGAATGTGCCTCCAGGCAGAAAACCAGAGCAATCATCGCTCTCCCTTCAATGGTTTCCCTTCTCTTAGGGATATCAGACTTGTGCTGCCTGTTGTCCAATGTCTAACAACATTTGTTTTATTTTATTTTATTTTATTTTTTTTTAAAGATTTTATTTATTTTATTTTTTGCCCCCAAAGCCCCAGTAGATAGTTGTATGCCATAGCTGCACACCCTTCTAGTTGCTGTATGTGGGACTCAGCCTCAGGATGGACAGAGAAGTGGTGCCTCGATGCGCACCCGGG